ATGAGAACAAGTTGCCAAAGTACAACCTTGACTATATATACTCCGTCTGACTTTTGAGACTATATCAAGAATTAATGTGACTCGTTGAATACTAGTGACTGAGGATGAGGTGAGTTGTGAGATGACATCAAAAACCATGCATGAAAGAAGCAAAAGTTCACTGAAACATAGAAAAGAAATAAAATAAAATACAAAGTCGATGTAAGATGAAACTCCCGAACTTGCTCTTGAATGTGAGTAGTTAAGGTGATTTGAAAAAATAAAGGAAAAGAACTGAGCAGCTTCCAAAGGGAAGGCCGAGAAGACGAAATATCTAAGAAACATGCAAAGACCCGGAGTTTTCTCAAGATGAAAGAACTGCAGAAAATAGGCATGCCTTGAGTGTGACATTGAAGAATCCTGTAGGGAACATAATAAATGATGCAGTCTGTATTCAAGGGAAATGGAAAGAACACACAGAATCACCATACCAAAGGGAGTAAAAGGCAGTACAAGACTAAGAACTAATAGTCTTGAAAGAAGCAATCCAAGTTGCCCTGAAGACATTGGCTCTAGGAATTGATGGAATGCCAATTGAGATGTGTCAATAAACAGTAGAAGCACTCATTTATCTATGCTAAGAAATGTAGGAGAAAATTGCCTGGAAGAGATCCATATTTGTACCCATTCCAAAGAAAGGTGATGCAACAGAATGTGAGAATTATCAAGCAATATCATTAATAACGCACACAAGCAAAGTTTTGCTGAGTATAATTCAAAAATGGTTACAACAATATATAGACAGGGAACTTCCAGAAATTCAAATCTATTTCAGAAGAAGACAAAGAACTAGGGACATCATTGCAGACATCAAATGAATCGTGTCTGAAAGCAAGAGGCTTCCCTGTGCTTTATTGGCTACCCAAAGGCATCCCACTGTGTTAACCATAACAAATTAAGGTTAACATTGCCAAGAATGGGAATTCCAGAACACTTCATTGATCCCACGCAGAATCTGTACATATGTCAAGAGGCAATCATTCAAACAGAACAAGGGGAGATTGTGCAAATTAAGCTCAGAAAAAGTTGTGCCCAGGTTGTATCGTTTCATCATTCTTTTCAATCTGTATGGTGAATAAATAATCTGAGAAACTGTACTATATGAAAAAGAATATAGCATCAAGAGTAGAGGAAGATGCATTAACAATCTGTGAGATATAACTTTGCTTGAAATGGAGAACTTGAAGCCCTCACAATAAATAACATTATGATAAAGACTGAAATTGTCAAGAATTTAGTTCTGCTTGGATTCACAATCAATGCCTGTGGAAGCAGCAGTTAGGAAATCAAATGAAAGGGCTCAAGTAGAAAGAAACTGGGAAATGTTAATGACAACATATGTACAAGGGTGCTTAATACTACTGAAGGATGGATTCTTATAAAATTTGTAAGAGCCCCCCCCAGTAAAATGATTAATTAAAAAAAAGAAGTCAAATGACATATGTCATTGGCTGAATCTGCTACAAAAGATCTCTTTAAAGTGTTGAAAAGCGCAGATTTCACTTTGAACACTAAGGTGCCTCTGACCCCAGTCATGATGTTTTCAATCAGCTCACTTTTATGCAAAAGGTGGCCAATAAATAAGGAAGACTGCAGAAGAATTGATGCCTTCTTTATGATATTGGGGAATATTGACTATTTCATATACTGCCAGATATACTAAATCTGCACTGGAAGGAATAAAGGCAAAATGCACCTTTTATGGAGAGGATGGTGAGACTTCATCTCACGTACTTTGGACATGTTATCAGAAAGTAGTTAAGTGTTTCTAATTAGGAACTTTTTCCCCATGGAGCTGCTAGGTGGATTCGAACTGCTAACCATACCATACAGGTAGCAGTTGAGGGCTGCCAGGATTTACCCAGTATGAAAAAAATAGGTAAGAAATCAGGATCTGATGTTAGGTTTGTGTTAAAATCTCTGTTTCAGAAATTACTCTTTCTGCGATCTTGGGCTAATTAATATTTCTAAACCTCCATTTCTTCACCTGTAAAATGAAGAATCATAATCCTACCAATTTCATAGAGTCATTATGAGAATGTAGTTAGACAATATACTTAGATCGGTAGTGTTCAATCAAGTGCCATTTTGCCCCCAAAGGATGTTTAACAATGTCTAAAAATGTTGCTGATTGTCACAACTGGCAAGAGGGTTGCTACTGGCATCTAGTGGGAAAAGTCCAGGAATCCTGCTTTCTATTCTCAAGTGAGCAGGATAAGTCCACACAACAAACACTTAGAGTCAAAATGTCCAAATGGTTGAGGGTAAAAGAACCCTGCTTAGAGTAATGCCTGGCTTACGGTATACATACTATATGTTGTACATTATCGAAGAGGAGGGCAAAGAGGAAGGTGAGGTATAGCGGGAGGAAGCAGAGGACGAATGAAGTCCAAAGGAGATGAGTTCACTGCAGCTGTTTTCTGTTAGGGTAAACGCCAAGACACCAGGACCTGCTGTCATCAAGTGCACCCCTGAGCCAAGCTGCGGGCGGCCTTTCTGTGTATGCAATGGTTATAGGGTGACTTAAAAACAATTACTAGCTGGTGGACTCTGGAAGAACCAACACCTGACCCAAATGGCGTTTTATAGCACAGGGAAAGTAACCGAAGAATCTTATAACTCAAACACGTGATCACCCTCTCCTGTCCTGTGAATCATTATCTCCAGCCCAAGGACAATAAATGACAAGAAGACCCAATAACCGGCCCTGAGGGTTGACAGATCCATGTGTCCCCTAGCCTTGAAATCTCATACCATTACAACCCAGGTCAAGTGGACCAGGCGTTGATTTAAAATGGACTGCAACACACTATTTAAACAGTTTTGTTTCTTTAAAAGCTGAGAGGTCAAAGACCTCTGATGATCCTGCAATCCAAACGATGGTGTAGCAAAGCAAGGGGTGGCTGGGGACAGGAGGAGAGGATCCCTGAGGAATATAAAGCATCAGCAATGGTGTAACTTTCTTCCAACTAAGCTTTAGCTAACCACACTTTGGCAGAAAAAAAAATACAGAAGCAAGGCTCTGCCAACAGAGGCTGGAGCCACAAACCAAGAACAATCTGCATGTGTACATGATGTGGAAAGAACTCCTTGTCAGATGTTGGTTTTTCCCAGCCACATCTTCGAATGCAGTGGTATCATCTTCAAATTATGAAGGACAATTGGATTCTTTAACCACCCAGGCATGCAGGGAAATAATGAAGGATAATATCCTCTGTTGACAAGTGAATGTCTCCGTGGAGAAGAACAATTAGGAAATGTGTCATTTAGGGTGCTGCCTATACTTCCAGAATCAACTCAAAACAATGTCTTTGTTTGAACTGACATCTCGGGATAATGGTTAAATGCAGAAGCGCTGGAATCAGAACTGTCACCCCACCGTTTACTGACTGTAATCTCGGGAAAGTGTGTTAACTTCTGCAGACCCCAATTTCTTCATCTCCAAAGTGGGGGTGATAATAGTAGCCTCTTTGTGGATTTGTAGTGAAGATTACATGTGATACTTCCTAACACCACAGCCAGCACGGAGGGAGCACTTAGTAAATACTACCCTGTGGCCATTGGTGTTCATCAAAGAAATTATTTATCTCATTTTCACATTCAAGACCCTGCACTTGAAAGCAAGAACCAGGTCTTGTCAATCATACCAAATGCTAAGAAATCTGAATTGGGGGACAGGAGTCCAGACATGCTAAAAATAGAACTGTAAACCCAAATGTTACTCATTCATTTGTTCATGATCCTACCTAGATGTGGCTGTAGCCTTGCTTTAGTTTGACTATTGAGGGGGCTTTGAAAAGTCCTTGGGAATTTTTTCATTTTCCTTTCACCCTATTTTTCCAAAGTGCCCTTTGTATCTATTCAAATGTCTGTTCTTTTTCCGTGTTCTCTTTCACATTCTTATGACCACCTTTTGAGAAAAAAATAAATAAATACTCCTGATTTCTTTCTTTCTCTCTCTCTCTCTCTCTCTCTCTCTCTCTCTCTCTCTCTCTCACACACACACACACACACACACACACACACACACACACATGCTTTTCTTGCTCTGCTTTGAAACTGTCCAGCCACTGAGGCAAATTTTTGAAATCTGCAGCAATGAAAGTTTCACTGAGAGACATCCGTGCTGTCGCCTGGTCTCAGAACTACAACCTGCACACGCAACCATCTCCTCCTTAGAGCCCAGGAGGTGTTGGACTCCCCCGAACACCACACTTTAGAACAAGACGACCTCTAAGGAAATTTATTTTCCTTCTTTATTTTTTCTATTTAACTTTAAAGGGTAGCCTGTATTTCAGTCTTCTGTTGCTGTTTTAAATTTTAAGCAAGGGGGAATTGTAAGAAAATACTTGACAAAAATAAGTCATTTTCACAGGCAGGGACAGAGGAGTGTAGGTTAGAATTCTGGGATGAGAGAAAAAGAAGGGAAGGAGCATCCACCAGAATAAGTTGGCATTTCCCTGGACTGCTGTCTGAGTCAGGATTTGTCGGTCTTTGTTAGCAAGTAAGGCATGATCAGAAATGTCAGGCTTACGCTTAGCAAACTCAGTCAATCTTACAAAGATAAACATTTAATATCACCATTGTTATAAGGAAAAACAAAGAGGAAGAAGCATAGTTTGTACACTAATCAACCAGACTTTGACCATTATGAAGAGGCCAGGGACAGGGGTGGGAACCGGGAGAGGGGAGGGATAGGGCACAAAATAAATGGAGAGGTAAAGAAGAAATTAAAATTCAATACATGGTGGGTGGTAAAAGGGAGCTGATGTCAAGGAGTTCGAGAAGGAAGAGAATTTTTTTGAAACCGACTGCAGTAGCAATTGACAACACTGCTTGATATGACTGAACTATGAAACCATATGATCTCTGTATTAGCTCCCAATAAAATGGTTTTGGAAAAAAAATTAAACAAATGAATAAAATTAAGAACTGCTTTAGGGGAAGAAAAGAAAGAAAAAACCCTCCAGATTCCTTACCCCTCAGATCTAAATATTGGTCTGAGCGGCTATAAAAGGAGGGAAAGTATAACTGAAGTGGACTTGGAATCTTTAATGATGCACAAGTTCATTTCAAACATAAAAGAAAAAGAAATGTTGGGATTGCTGACATTGTTGGCGTGCTTACTAGGCACCAGGTCCTGTTCTGAGCAAGCCTCGTGTCTATAGCAACGCACAACCAGGTTATGAGGTGGGTACCAGGATATCCTTTTGTTGGATGAGGGAGAAAAGAGGCTGGGGCCCGGGGTGTAAAGTTCCAAAGTCACAACTAGTTGTGGAGATCTGGGACAGAGATTCAGGCCGTTCAACTCCAGAGCCTTCCATTTTAACAACTATACTTCAGTGTCCCTGAATGAAAGTAAAGGAATAATACCTTTGGGGCAGCATCAAAACTCTGGCCAATCACCCGCCTCACAAGTAACATCATGAAAGAAGAAAGGCATGCTCTCCTCATGGTAACAATCGTAATAACTTTGCTTCTAATCAAAGACCAATGTTGCATTTTAACGAGAATTAAGAGAACTCTTGTACTTCACTGGGTTTGCAGGGTTAGACCACAAAGCACTAAGAATTTGGTGGCTGTAATGGTCTTAATCATTTTTTCTCTTCTAAAAATTTAACATTTTTACCTGGAAGGAAGATGAGGTTTTCATCAAGCAGTTTAGTTTAACTATAGAATGTTGTCTTAAATTGTTCTAATTTTTCATTGCCTTATTCTATTTAGTTCATAAATTTTCCTTGCTTCCACTAACTTGAATAAACCAACTCCAACATTCTTCTCATTGGCTCACAAGCACCATCTAGTGAAGAAAGAGAATAATTACAGAACAATTCTCAATGGGGATCACAGGAATCTTTAGTCATCACACCGAATTCAGAGCCCTTTTGTCATCGTTCTACAAGAACAACAACAAAACTCACTGCTACCAGAATCGATGCTGACTCATAGTGACCCTATAGGACAGGGTAGCACTGCCCCCTGTGAGTTTCTGAGACTTTAACTCTCTCCTTTGGAGAGGCAGGTAGTTCGAACTGCTGACCTTACATTTAGCAGCCCAACATGTAACCACTGTGCCATCAGGGATCAGATAACTACAAAAGTTGTGGGTAAGGTTGAATTTTTATATATTCCAAATGTGCTATCGTCTTGGATGTGAATAAGCTGAGAATCAGCTTGTTCTTTTACTTCTAATCTCCAATTAGTCATTTTCGATGACTCTGGCTTCCCAGACAGCATTTTAAGTGTTAACATTCCATTGTACCAACATCCTAAGATGCTATTTTGAAACTTACTGTTTTATATCAGCCCACCCTTCTCTAATCTCCCTCTCCAGTCCCTTTAGTAAATATTCACCTTACCATCATTCATTAAGCACAACCTCTGCCCTCAAGAAATTAAAACTATATATGCTTTATGGGGGAAAGGGTTATAGGAGCTATGACCGTATGGAGGAGTCCTGTCGGTGTAACAGTTATGCATTGGGCTTTGATCTGAAAGGTCAGCAGTTTGAAACGACCAGCTGCTCCCCTGGAGAAAGATGGGGTTTTCTTCTCGTGTAAACAGTTACAGTCTCAGAAACGCACAGGGGCAATTCACCCTTCCCACTGGGGAAACTATGAGTTGGTATTGACTTTGTCGCAGTGGTTTGGTTTGGTTTGGCTGTTGTTGTTGTTGAATGACAGAGGATTTCTACTCTGTCAAGAGCTATAGTCTGAGTAACTTGCAGGAGCAGTTCTCTCTACCCTGTCCTGAAAGGTTGTTATGAGTCGACATCAACTCCACAGCAGTGAGTGATAGCAAAGTATAGAATAGATTAGAATTAATTCATCTAATCTAATCAGAAGGGTCAGATAGAATAGGTTATTTTTTTTTTCAATTTGCTTGGAGGCCAAGGAACACATCTAAAGCATTCAGAGACATTCTCTCAGCGAACTTCTCTTTGAACATCTCACCACATTCACTGACGCTCTCAGCTCTGCTAAATATCTTCATTCGCATTGAATACTTGGTCCTAGATGGCTATTCTAACATATTCATGGGCTTCTGTCCCTCCCCGCTGAATTGTAGGCTCCTTGTTGGCCAAGCCAGTTCCAACTCACAGTGACCCTTTGTGCAACAGAGCAAACGACTGCCAGGTCCTGCATCATACTTACGATCGTTGCTAGATTTGAGCTCATTTTTGCCACCACGGTATCGCTCCGTCTGGTGAAAAGTCTTCTTCTTCTTCACTGACAATGTACTTCACACGGCATGATGTCCTCTCCCCAGGGCCTGGTGCCTCCCGACAACATGTCTACAGTATGCGAGGGGAAGTTTGGCCATCCTCACGTGACTCATGGTGACATCATGTTCAACAGACTGAAACACTGCCTGATCCTGTGCCATCCTCACAATTGTTCTGTTGACCAGAGGGTCGCTATGAGTCACAATCTAACAACAACAAACTTCTAAGGTTAGGTGAAGTATCTAAACTTCTTTTCCTTATACTGAACTTAATCATAATTCTAGTTGTGGCCATGAAGGTGCCATTGAGTGAGCTATAACCCAGAGTGACCTATGTACAACAGAACAAAGCACTGCCCAGCCTGGTGCCATGCTCACGATTGTTCCTATGTTGGAGCCCATTGTTGCAGCCCCTGGATCCAATCTATCTTGTCAAGGGCCTGCCTCTTTTAACCGCCCCTCTACTTTACCACATCTAATGTCCTTGTCCAGGGACTGGCCTCTTCTGATTACATGTCCTAAGTATGCAAGGAATATTCTGGTTGTACTTCTTCCAAGACAGATCTGTTTGTTCTTCTAGCAGTCCACGGCACTTGCAATATGCTTCATCAGCATCATGGTTCAAGTGCACCAATTCCTCCGTGATCTGCCTTATTTGTGGTCTAATACCATTGCCTGGGTCAGCTGCACTTTAGTCCTCAAAGTGACATCCTTGCTCTTCAGCACTTTGAAGAGGTCGTGTGCATCAGATTTGTCCGATGAAATATTGTGCGAGACGGGGTTGACTAGAGAAACAAATCGAGTTGACACTCATATATGTGTAAGAAGTAATCATATCAAGTAATCAAGAAAGCATCTCAGCCTGGTCCAACTCAAGTCCCTAAGTCGATACTAATCCATCAGTCCCTTTTCAGACTCACACAGCCACATTCAATGATGCAGAATGCACGAAGGTCACAGGCCGGGGGGTGCAAAGTTGTGTGGATCTAATAGCAGTGGCTCTGGCAGCTATCAGAGTCAGTCCGCAGAAGTTGCAGGCAGAGAGAGAGTTGGGCAAATTCCCAGAGGCCTCTTTATAAGAAAGGCCATGCCCACAAGGAGGCACCACCAGGTTGTGTGACCTGATTGACAGGTTGAATATAACTCCTACACATTTATATATCTTCTAGTTGACATGAAACTATGTAACTACCACAAATATGTCATTAGATTTTTGTAACTGCTTTTACAAACCATGTCATATAATTAATTCATTTTGTTTCTTGATGTGTTTATGAGATCAGGTGATCGTGGGGATGGTGTAGGGTAATTTTTACTCATTGTGCCTGGGGTCATCATGTGTAGAGGTCAACTAGACAGCAGCAAATGACATTAGGTGAGTCAATTTCTCAAAGACAGATGATGAGGTTTCTTAAGAAGTGGAGAAATATGAGATTAATAGATTTATTGCTGTTTGTGTCTAAAGTGCCCTGATTAAAAGATCAAATACCACCTGGAAAAGAGCCTGTAGCATGTTTAGTGCAGTCTTGCCCTAAACTCTACAAAACCTAGAAGTCCTTTGTTCCCCTCAATGGATTCAGTGAGAAAACTGATGGCATGCTGGCAAGATGTTCAGGTGTCACAGGGTGAGAACAGGCTGTCAGCTCATTGGGTGGTAGACTCAGGATCATAATCCGGAAGGATAGAAACTAGACCTAAATGCATCTAACTTTAAAGTTAGTCTGGTAGGCTAAAACCTACAAGAACACGAAGTGGAAGAGAATGCAATTGGGGGGGGGACCCCTCCAGAGCAGCTTGCTCTTAAAAATGGGTGGCTTCGATGCTAGAAATGAAGCTCATGGTCCTTCCCATGGCACCACTCTAAAATGACCGATTGTGTGTTTCTCAAAGGTGAAGAAATCTTTTTCTGAAAATTCAGCCCTGCCAAACACATGCATGAAGTTAAGCAAATGTCAAATTGGTACATTACATTATACTTCTCTGCTGCTTTGTTTAGTATCCCAAAGAGTTCACAAATTACAAGTAGTTCCCAAATTACCAAGAAGTTGTTTTCTAAAAATTAGTTGGCAATTCAGTTCTATGACGGCATCGTTTTGTTGTTCCCAGAATGGAGCCAGACCACCCAGGTTCAACTCCGGACTCAGTCACCTAGTTCATTAATTGGATCCTGATTCCCACATCTATAACATGGAATAGCTACTCAAAGGATTGTTGAGCTGTGATTAAATGAGATACTACATGGAAAGTTTTGAGTACCGTGCCTGATAGTTTATAGGAGTGCTCAGAAAATGTTAACTAGTCTTATACTTAACACCATGAATGCATTTTAAATAGAAAGAGGAGCACAGCAAGTAATTCCTAGGAAAGGAGGATCATAGCACTGGGTTACAGGGGAAAAAAGGATAAAAATACCACATCACCAAGGATGTAGTCAATGTCTTCATCTTTCCATGTGCATAAGAGAAGGCTTCTATCTAGGTTACATCACTTAAAGTGTGTAGCAAGACACATTTAAATTCCAAAAGCAAAAGAATAGAAAGTGTAGCTCAATGGTAAACTTCAGTGATCTCTGAGTATCAGCCTCCACAACCCTGAGAGCAGAACAGCTAGATGATGCCCAGAAACCACTATCAACCGTCCTGAAAGAGATCGTGTTAGCAGACCCTGGATACAGTGGGAGGAAAATGCTGGACAAAAATCAAAGTCAGCCTGACTAGTCTTACAGATTCTGGGGGAAGCTCCCGGGCTATGGCCCTTAGTCACCTAAAAGTGAACTCACCCCTCTGGCTCAATCTCGAGTAATAATAATAATCATCATAGACATATCTCTAAGGGGAATAATAACACTAGGGAGTTAT